ACACTCCTACCGGTACGAAAACACACTCCTCTAATTAATGCGTTCATGGTGTTGGCTAGAAACAAGGCCTTGTTTGGATAGTCATTTTTTCTCCAAAAAAAATTTCACATTTTCATGAATATATCTCCTAATTATCTCCTTTTTTATCTCACCTATATTAAATCGCTACAATATTTTTTTTTAATAAAAATTTCAAAAAATAGTAATCCAAATTGGTTCTTTAGTCAGTAATTAGAAAGTTTACTTTTTGTATTATAGCAAACTTAATATTTTACTTAATTGCGGGGATTCGTTTGTGGATTTTTGTTTATTTTTGTCTCATGGAAGATTCCAAACTTTACAAAGAGAAAAGGAGGAAAATAAAGAGCATGAGAATCGAGCTAGAAATCTTATACTTATTTGACTAATATTCCGATTAACAAGTTTGGTCTTGAGGACCGTTTACAGATTAAATTGAACTTGGTATTGTGTTGGAAAACAGTCCACCTTTCTCTTCATTTATCGCTTGTTTTTCACAAGCTCATTTTGTTCTTTCTAATAAAAAGTTACCCGGCCATGATATATCCAAAACCTATGTAACCAATTTGTCTCTCTTGCATTTAGATATTTTCCCAGGACTTAACAAATGCTCCAGGGCCTTGTTAGCCATTTCATAACTTAATGCATAGAAAAAGCCGCTAAAGATTTTGGAAATTCTTTCTTAGTGCAAGCAAATCATTTCCAATTTTGAAATTGAGACTTAAACACATATATTTCGTGTTTAGCATAGGATTCCAATGGTATTACAGACATTGTATTTTTTTAAAAATTACAAACATATATAAAATTTTCTCAATCATTACTTGGGATGTTAAATATCTGTGAAAGTGTTTAAAATTCAAGGGTGAAAAAATATTAAAAATTAGTAAAAGTATGGAGACAAACAAGATAATATGAGGGGGTCGAAAATTTTAGTAACTAAAAGTAACAATTCTATTTTCCTTGGGCACATTCCGGACAAATTACTGGTAAACAAACATCCAATGGGCCGTCCCTTCTGTCTTTCTTGATTCAAGAAGTTATAGAAGCAAGCCCAAGCTCTTTGAGGCCCTCGACTCTCTTCCTGCATCCACAATTCACATTTTAAATGGCTCATTCAAAACAATTTATCTGCATATGCGCGGACAAATTCGAGGGGGCAAATGGTTCAGTATCGAATTTATTAACATAGAGTCTTCGTACAAAAAAAAATCATAAATAAAAATCGTGTCACAACCTAAACCAAATTAATCATATAGCCAACACCTATAGATTAGTATTTAGTACCACAAAAATTCAAGAAGTAGTAGTATTTTTTTTCCTGAAAATGTGCAAAATCTTTACGGCTAAGCCGCCAAAAGATACGTCGTCAACTCGCACGTAAGGATTGATAACCTCAAAGAGAGAGAGAGAGATGGATTGGGTGGTACGGGAAGAAAGTATAAGTTAGAGAGGTCTTAAGTTCAAAATTTTCCACTTAAACTAAAAAAAAAACAACTCATCTATCTCCTCGTATTTGTATCTCAATAATAGGGAGAAGTCTTTTCTCTTGGAAAACATTATTTACATTTCATTTTTTGTTATTTACATTCTCAACATTTGTTTTATCACATAGTCTAACAAGCCAAAACTATACGATTAAAATGATAATGGAGTGTGATTAATAAGAATAGAAGTGCAAATAACATTTCCTTTTTTTTTCGTCAATAATTTCATACTTTGTTAAAATATAGTAATAGTAAAGATTATTTAGAAATTTTTATATATGATTGAATGAATCACTTTTTGTTATTTGATTTTGATCTCGATGAGCTTAAAATGAAAATACGGCTAAAAATTCAAAAAATAAATTAAACCTTTGTAGGCCATAATACATCAATTCTTTTTAACCCTAATGTACCATTCATTTCTCTTAATATTTAATTGTATAGAATCAAATAGGTATTTATATATTTTTTTAATTTCATTACGGTTTCAAAAATAGAGATTAGTTGAAAGGACAAGAAAAGATGAATTACAACGAATTGGGAGGTTAGGTTTGCTAAGAATTGCCGGAGAAAATGGCGCTCAAATTTCTGACGTTCGCCCTGCATGGATTCGTAATGTAGCGGCGCATGTGATCTGGGAAGCAGGAGCGTGGTTTGTCAGTTTTCATGCATAGCGCGTGGAGCTGACATGTGGACTCACAAAATTCTACGGTGTCTACTGCACACCTCAACTGGCTTGTTAATTGAGTCACACGCGTCCATGTCCCATGTCACTTTCTCCCCACCAAAATTCATTTCCCCACGCGCAAACTGAAGTTTTGACAATTTGTTGTTGCACGTACAGTTACATTAGCCACAAATCATGATTGCATAATTTTTGCCAGTTCACACCCATTTGTTGTCATTTTCTGCGTGGGTTTTCCATTTTTTCAAAAGCCCTTTCCTTTTCTTTTTTTCATAATATTAGTTTTGTTGGGTGCCGTAAGGAGCAACTAATAACACCATAATTGCAAAGGCAAAGTACTTTCCTCATATTCTTCCTAGTTATGTGATAGTGTAATAATCTAGAGCCAAATTACCAAATCCGGTTCTTCAGAGGATCGGATCCCTTATTTTTTTTTTTGTCGCAATGATAGTATCAGTATAACCTATTCTAAACTAGTATAGGAGGAGGGAGAGCCTAACTGACAGAAAACCCTGTCGAAAGCAGCCATAATTAAGTGGCAAGGTCGGAGGGGTTGAACCCTTGATCTGACGCCTATAATGCCAAGAGGCTGTTGGCAAGTGTATCCCTTACTGTCTAGGATCTGGAATAAACATTTTGATTTTAAACATGGATAACTTTTCATGGATTCATTCTTGATTTTAAACATCAAACCCAACATTCATATAGATAATATTTGGGTTTGTTTCGATATCATATTATTTTAAATGATATTTGCTTGTATCATAAATATATTTTTTAACTCATATTTTTATATTTTTAACCAATTTTTTTATCTCACATATATTACATTATAAAGAATGTTATAGTAATTATTTCAAATAATACTCCATCTAAACGAACCCAATGGTCTGAGGACATACTACCAAGATTGGATTTGGGCGTTTTCAGTGGATCCTCGTAGATTGGTTTTATTAATTGGGCCTGCCGTTGGACAGAAGGGCGTGGCTTATTGGTATGACCTACTGCGGGCTTACACCGTCTTTAAACATTTCATGAGTTTTCTTTTCTTTTTTTTTTTTCCTTGATAGTCGATGCCGTTTTGATGTCCCCCAATGTTGTTTCAGTGCCAATTGTGTCTTGCTGAGGCAATGGAGAGTTCAGGTTGTAAATTGTCCGGTCGGTTCCTAAATTATTATATTCATACAAATTTTAACTTCTAAGCTATACTATGTATTGTTTAAGCCGTTAAACAAGTTAATATGTAAGCTTTTGACCCTTCTATCAATTTTCATTATTTGAACTAACGGAGTGAAGGGATGATTTTGTTTCTAAAAAGAGAAAAAAAAAACAAAAACAAAAACAAAAGGGTTGACGAGCTTTTGTCTCTTCTTCCTCTTCTTCTTCAAGGGTTATTGCATCCTGTAGTTCTATTTCTTAGGAGATTCAAGAAAAATAAGAAGAAAAATGCTGATTTGATCCTTTCACTCATCGTCTCATCATTCCTTTTTTTTTTTTCAGGAGGATAATTTTGTCCCTTCATTCCATTAGGTCAAATAGCAGAAATTAATAAAAGGGTCAAAAACTTACACATTAATCTGTTTCAGGGCTTAAACTAATACAGTTTAGGGGCTAAATGAGTACAAAAGTAATAGTTTAGTGGCCGGCCTAACAATTTATTCAAGAGTTTGAGGTAGGGTTCAGACTACATTCGCATGCTTCCAAGTCATTTTAGTTTCAAGAACTTACTATCATTGTTCATAAACTTGAGATGGGAGGTCAATGGAACCTTCAAAAGTCGAAAAGATCTTTTTCTAATATGGATAAATGCTGACAAAGTTTAAATGCTTGACATATAATGTCCATAAAAATCTTAAATTTTGAATAAAATTTTTGCACATGTGATATGTATCAAACCTCAAATAATGTCAAGAAAGACAATAATATAATTTGCTTTAGGTTTTATCAATTTCACTTTGTTTGGGTGGAACGGAAATGAAGAACAAGATGGTTTCGAAGAGAGAAACAACAATTTCTATACTTCAGAACATTAGATGGAGTAAAATGATGGGGATGGGAATTAGATTTCTGAATCCGTAAAAATGATTCACTATTTCAAAAAACACACAAAATGATGATTCTTTTTTCTCTTTCGCTGTGTCAAATCTCCCAAATTACGCAAGGGAAAGTTGTTTCTAACCTCTTTGATTGTTATCTGTCATATCTTCAGTTTCTCTTGTCTTTAGTTTCTCGTATAAAGTCAAAATTAGGCCTTTGTGCCTTTGATTACTTTTTTCAAAATGCAAACATATATATATATATATGTCTATACTATAACAAATTATTCTTTTCGAATTACAAATTATACAATATGATAATCATTCAAATAATCTATTCTTTTCCCCCTTAAAAGAAATAGAAGATTTTTTTTTTTTGGGATTAACAGAGAACAATATCTACAACTAACAAAATAACCAAAAAAAAAGAGTAGCAAAATAACCATTTGGCAAAAGAAAAAGGATGAATAAGACGGGTGAAAGTTACTTCAATTAATGTGCTTTCTGTGGTGGTTTACACTTTTTGACGTTAAAAGTTGAAATGTGACAAAGCTAGTTAAAAAAAATTATTCCCCGAAAGCCAAAATCTCTTCCCACCCCCACCCCCCCTCCAAAACAAAAAAAGTCTCTTAAGATTATCCTATATTTATAGTCCCCAATCAGAAAATACCTTTCCCTGTCTTATTATGGCCCATGCTTCCCCTCCCCTATGTCCCAAAATTGAATTCTTCTTATCTCTACGTACACAACAAATAAATACCAGAAATCCACTCTTGCTCTGTCTAGTCTAGTCTAGTCTGCCTTCTTCACCAAACTCCCACATCCACATATATGTATAAATTATACTACCAAAAGAAATCACCATTAAAGCCAGCTCCAGTAATAAATTATTTTCATCATACATATTTCTTCTCGTCAAGGACTTGTGTAGCTTAGTTTTGCAATTAACAAAATGAATCAGTGCGTTCCCAGTTGGGAACTCGAAGAAAATCACCATGCCCCTCTCCCTCCTCCTCCTCCTGCTGATCCTAAGCAAACTCTTCGAGCTCATTCCAACTCCAGTTCCTTAGCTCCTGATGTGCCCACGTAAGATTTTTCCTCATAATTTACTTTGTAATATGTTTTGGCTTTTCATATTCTTTTCTACAAAGAGATCATGATATGTCATGTTCATGTTACTTCCTGTACCATTAGCACTTTGCATATATTTTTCGCAACGAAAAAAAAACTACCAAATTGTACAGGCTTGTAAATTTTCACTAGGGAAGAAATAAACAAAATAAATCTTTTATCGTCTGTGGTTGTTTATGGGTTGGGCGGAAGTTTTTTGCAGGTTAGACTATGAAGTGGCGGAGTTAACGTGGGAAAATGGGCAGCTGGCAATGCATGGTTTGGGCCTTCCACGCTTGCCAAATGGTAAGAGCTTAGCTGCCCCGCCTCCCGCTAAGTACAATAGCTGGGAGAAGCAGCCACCAGTTGGTGGAACTCTGGAGTCTATAGTCAACCCGGCAGCCATCATCGCCACCCACCGAAAATCGGCTGCCCAGAGTGGCTGCCGCGATTGCGGAGACGAGCTCGTGCCGTGGTTTGAAGACCACCGCCGTGCAGCAAGAGCTCCGGCAGCAGCTTCGCTCACCTTGACTATGGATGCTTTGGTTCCATGCAGCAACAGCACTAGAAATGATCATCGAGAACCCTCCACCCACGTGCCTAAAATCAGCGCCTGCCCGGTGGGCTGCTCCTCCACTTGTGTGGGGTCCTGCAGCGCTGCCGCTGGGAATGCCTGGTTGCGAAGGATGAGTGCGGCGGCGGCGGCTGCTCCCATGGAGTGGGGTAGCAAGGCAGACCAGAGTGCAAGTTGGAGTGCCACGTGTGGGAGGGATAGCCGCCAGGTGACGCTTGACACGTGCGACAGGGAGTTTGGTACGGCGGCTTACACCTCCACCTCTTTCGGGTCGCCGGAAAACACCAGTTCCGGCAAACAATGCACCAAGACGGTGGACGACCAGGACTCTCCTTGTCAGAGCCGATATGAGGCAAGTAATAGTACTAGCAATCTTGGAGTGAGTTTGAGGTGCTTGTGTTTCTCTTGACTATCAATGCTTTGCATGCATTTTTCTTGTGGATTGGTACAAGTGCTTGCATGTCCTAACGTGTGAATAATCCCAAGTTTGAATGTATGCATAGAAATGGAATTTTTAGTTTTGCTTTGTTGTATTTATTGTGCTTTATTTGTGATTGTAGAGGGAGGCAGGGAATGAGGAGCAAAAGAAAAAGGGTAACGGGAAATCTTCTGTCTCAACCAAAAGGAGCAGGGCAGCAGCTGTACATAACCAGTCTGAACGTGTGAGCTCTCCAAATTTTGTATCTTCTTTTTTCAGCCAAATCTTGAAAGGGTAATGATAATTCTGAAATGGGATACGAGATTAATCTTAACGTATCTTACAAATTGATGTCTTAGAAAAGAAGAGACAAGATTAATCAAAGAATGAAGACATTGCAGAAGTTGGTCCCAAATTCAAGTAAGGTACGAATGATGTTCGAGCATTCTTCTACTATATCACACTTCATTGATCCTCTTTGATTTTATGGTAGGAGATGTCTGATGAGGTACAAGACATCGTGTTTCTATTTCTTGCATGGTAGTGGTACTCTTTTTTTTTTTCTTTTTTTTTTCTGGGAACATTTCAGCCGGGCATTTTTGGAAATTGATTGGAGTATTATACTGTACCGAATGCACTGAAAATTTATTAGTCATCCATATAATAAGAGTACTCTAGCCACGTTTATTTTGAAAAACAATGCAAAATGTTATAAATTAATTTTAGCTCCATTATCGAGAAGCAAAAGAGCAAGTATTATCCTATCAAAGGAGTAAAAAGGGGTTTTGGACCCAGAGAAGCAAAGGCAAGATTCAGCCAAGAAAATGCTGCTGCTGCTGATAATGTGTTACAGACGATTAACAGTAGTGCAAGGACGTGGTCCACTACTCTGATACATTTCATATGGTGGTGTGAATTTCTGGCACAGGATAATAATCCTAATCCACACACACATCTACTCTTGAGACAATCCGACAGAGAGTTGTTGGTTGTGAAGACAATGATATGTTTACCACAAAATTGATAAAATCTCCACAGGGTAGGACCGTATCTACGGGAAACAGCAACTACTCTCTGTGCTTTTGTGAAATCAATGATTGCTGTATATCCCTTCTTTATTCATTCACTAAATTTGGTAATGCATTCCACATAAGGGCTTTTTCACCATCTTACCCGCCAAGTCCTACATGGAAGAATTTATTCATCCATCGCTGGCACAGTCAATGATACGGGAAGCTTCAATAGGGTATACAGCAGCGTGTTAGAGCATTTGGATGCATGGTGTTAAATAATTTCAATTTGATTTTGAAATTTAAGTTTTGCTAATGCGATAGACATTCACATCTACTGATGTATTATACATTCATTGTAAGTGACTTCAACTGGCAAGGTTTGATATCACAATTAGACTCTGATATCCTTTTTATGCATGGTTGGTTGATGGGTATTTCAGACGGATAAAGCATCAATGCTGGATGAAGTCATAGAATACCTGAAACAATTGCAAGCTCAAGTGAATATAATGAGCAGAATGAACATGTCACCGATGATGTTGCCACTGGCATTGCAACAGCAACTTCAAATGTCTATGATGGCTTCCATGGGCATGGGAATGAACATGGGTATGGGAATGGGTGTCATGGACTTGAACTCAATCGGTCGCTCCAACATTGCCGGACTACCTCCATTGCTTCACCCCACCGCTTACATGCCGGCAACCTCGGCCTGGGATGGCCTGGCGGATCGTCTAGCCGCTTCAACTTCTCAGGCAATGCCAGATCCTCTGGCTGCATTCCTAGCATGCCAATCTCAGGTAAACCCTTGATAGTTTGTCTTTTGTCACATATAAGGAACTTGAACCTTGGTGCACATATGTAATATACATAATCAGGATTGACAATTTTGCTGTCAATCTCTTAATGCAGCCTATGACTATGGATGCTTATTCTAGGATGGCAGCATTGTACCAGCAATTTCAACAGCCTCCAGGCCCTGCTTCGAAAAATAAATGATATATAGCTTTTTCTCAAACTCCTGGATGATACCCTATTCAACAAGTGTGATATATATATATATATATATATCCAAATCGACGAAATTAATTTGTATTGAAAACAGTGTCTTTGTTAGTTAATGCATGCGAGAGCTAGCGCACAATTAATTTTCCTTCCCATTGAGAAATTAAGCTGCACGAAAAGAAGAAGTACTTGCAGATTTTTGCTGAATCCGTTAGTCCAACAACCTTGAGAGAATTAACTTTGTTGAGAAATCATTACCCCTCCCACTAAGAGCACGAGGCAAAAGAGCCTTCCAACCTTTTTCCGATGTGCTATATACTCTTGTTTTCCCAGTTTCGGAGTTCAATTTTCTCTTATTTTTTTCCCCAGTTTTCCCTTCATCTGCGTCCCTGACAACAATTTGCCCAGGCCGCTGCCTTTCGCTGCATGCAATAGAAATGACCATTGAATCAAGCTTCACGATACAGTTGCTTGCAAGTTGCAAAAAATGGATGGATTCTTGTATATATATTTGGTGAAGTGTCATGTTCAATGTTTCCAAGTTGAGCTCTGCTTCAGCTATTCGAGGGATTACTTCATCATTGCTTGCTTGGGAATGAAAAGCTACTGCTTTCAAAAGTAGATCAATCAAGTAGCCTAAGTTGGAGTCAAAATGTGAAAGCACGTAATTGACTGGAGAATTGGAGATGCAATCATGCAGCAATAAAGAATTTCAGTAGACATAATGATGACGTAGTAAAGAATGAAGAAAGACTGCAAATTTTTTGTTTCCGACAAAATGTAGCAGCTGGGATCACAAAACAAGTCTAACAAAGTCGCCAAATAAATAAACTTGTTGTAGAAAACCTGAACCTGGTTTCAAGCTTTACAAATAAATAGCTCGACACTTCGTTCCACCTTATGCATTTTAATTGTGTAGCTGAATTTCTTTTTCAATTGAAACGGTCTTCTTGACAACTAGCTAGAGGTAATCAGAATTTGCATTTATATTTATACGAATTAATAAAGCTGCAAGGTGAAGATTATGAAAAAAATTAGATAAACTAAACCAAGCAAGAAGTTGTAACTTTTGCTGAGATTTACAATGTATAACCCGTCGTAAAAAAAAGGCGATTGATTAATGTGATTGACAAATGCTGTGTAACTATCCCTTTTTTCTTAAATCTTATCAATGGGTTTTCAACTGAGGTAAAAGAATGTGATTAATAAATGACGCGTAATTATCCATTTTCTTCAAATCTTGTCAATGGGTTTTCAAATATAGTAACAAAATCCATCCCCATCATCTAGCTACTAGGTAAACCTTTACCAAGGCTGTCCTATAGAGACAAACCTGCATAACATGCTGTGTTTGCTCAAAAGATTGTGAACTGAAGTTAAGCTTAACCAATCGCCACACGATGGCTACAGGATATGAACTTGGATACGTGTTTTCATAAGGTCAATGACTTTGGAGTCGCAAAGTGTGATTCCTTCCCGTTTGGGTACCAATCTTTCAATGTTGATAGAGCCGATATTGTCACCTAAACGGCTACAATGGGTTAACATGTCTTTCAATCTGATTTGACAAATGTTGAAAAGTCGATGTCTAGGAAGAGTCACTCATTAAAGCATCACACGGATAAAAACCAAGCAACCTACTTATCTTTTGGGCCTGTGCTTGGATGGGGGATTATTTAAGATAATTTTTTGAAAAAAATTATTAGGTTCATGAGTAAAGAATTATGTTTTACATTGGTTCAAAAGATAGAAAAAAAGCAGTTAATATGTAAATAAGGGTTCGAAACCTAATAATTAAAATTTTTGAATCAGAGTTGAGTTCCTAACTTACAGATTGGACTCTTTAGTGGATTCTCTCGAGGTGTTTTTCCCTATCAAAAATATGTTGTAACACTTTTTTGCTGTCATATATATATGAGATAAAAATGTGTTGATGATATAAACAAAATTAATGTACCTAAATAAGGTGTATAATGTGCAATCCAAACAAAAAGGGCCGTAGAATTGCAAACATGTTGATGAAGTACTACATATTGATGAAGTACTTTTCAATAAATTACCACAATCCCAAATAAGCCCTTGGAATGCCTTAGGGAACTATCCTTCTGTAAATTTCATTAACGAGCCCTAGGGTAATTGTTTTTTATTTGGCAAGTAAGTTTTATTTATATGTATATATATAGAATTAATCTTTTATATTCTGTTAGTGTAAGAATATTTTTAAGTTAGCAAGTTTAGACGATTTAAGATCTACTTTTTATACATATGACATGATCTAAAACTTATTAATGTAAAGGAATTTCTACGCTGACAATGTGTAATATGTGTGTGTATATATATATATATATATATTAAGCTTCTCCTATATCCTTTTTGTTTTTAAAATTTGAGGGCACCAAATAAGCACACTAAAAAAAAATAGAGTGAATCAAGTATTAATAATTTAAAAGTATCATTCACCTCCAGAATTGCAACAACTTTTTTGTAAAGAATTTATCTGTTTTATCAAAAAGTATAACAGTAGACCTACTACTTGGAACAACCCACCATCACCCATGCATCATCCTATTAGCAAAAAGAAGGATACTGCAGAGATGTCACTAACTAGGGCTAGAATTAGGATGTAAAGTAAATGTGGCAAAAAGTTAATCGTCTTGCTAAAATGAGTCAACGATGGAAGACAATTATGCAATCTTATCTAACTGCAGAAAACTTAGAGAAAAATTAAAAAAAAAAAAAGGAAATAGGCTTTTACACCTTTGGAACTTTGGCTCGTATCACCGTTGCCATTTGCTTTATAGTTGTGTTTCTGTATTAATCCCTTCACTGATTCTCTTTTTCCTTCTGGGATAGGAAATTCAAGAGAATAACTCAAAAAAAAATTTTTTTTTTAGAAAAGAGCTTTCCCTTCATTGTATTTTTCGAAATTTTTCCAGAGTTATCATTTTGGTTATGTGTATAAAAGAACGGAGTAATTTCCCTTTCCGAAAGGACTCGTTGAAAACACAAGGGATATGTACTGCCATATGATTTTGATGTTTCCCCAACCTTACAAGTTCATCGCTTTCAGTGCAATAGCAATAGACGCGGAAGCTATAACACAAATGATTGGAGAATCAAGGGAACGCTTGTTCATTCGGATAACCACATACTTGCTCCTCTTGTGAACCGCTCTGCGCAAATCCTTCCTGTCCCAGTTCACTGCTATTAATCGTCGTGTTGGAGTTTGGACCTTGTTATTATTATCACATTTCTCTTCCAACATTTATTGCCCTCCTTGCCAGCGTTTGCTTGCGGGACCATTTGCTTTGCCTTAATTGTAGAATCGGCTGAGGAATGCCATGATTCGTATCCATCTACGATACTTTGTGCCTTAGTACTACGCAGTCTGCTACTCTCTCTCTGTGTGTGTGTGATGCTATTTCTTGTTTGGGAAATGTTAATGGTACTGCTTCTTTATCTGTGTATAGACTTTTTTGTTGATTTATAGTATGACATGATGAAAATGTCCCGTTATTTATTCGAATTATAACTCCATAAATAGAGATACTTGTAAATTTAATGAAAACTAGATGCATTTCTTTTCTTTTTTGTAATCTACATGGTCAAAAGAATTGTCATTTTCCAATTGGGATTTTTCTTTAACTGTTTGGCTAACGGGAACCCATTTGAGCATCCGTTAACGTTAGGGTTTTAACAAAAAAGACATGAAAAGTGTAGTTGCGTGTACTTACATAGCAAGCATTAACAGAATCCCTTTTAAAGAGTAAAAAAGAATACATGATCTAGAATAATTTTCCAGCATTATGCATACTAGACCTGGCATAATGCGGCATATCCCATCGTTGAATTACTCCCCCTTGCCTATGGGAATGACTTGGTTGAACTAGGAAATTTCAAAGTTGGTATTCCATTAAGAACCTAAAGATATTTTGGTGCCATTAAATCCTGGATTGCATTTGTATCTGGATTCGCCACACCATAGATTTCTCATTTCTGGCTGCTGCTATACAGTAGTTGTTTCTGGCGACATCTTTTTGCAGGATTGATGAATGGAATTGGCCTATTTGACTGTATTCGTCCTATGTATGAATATTTTATCAACTGTCTTGTTCTGGTTGGTGAGCATTTAGGACTCAAAATATCTAAAACTCTCCATTAGTAGCAAATATGGGAACTATATATCCCCATCTTGCAAACAGTGTAAAATGGTGTAAAAATACATTTCACTGAATTTCCTCAAATCTTTTTCCTCCTAAATAACAAGTCTTTTTTGGTTAAGGAGTTGTTTACTTGTTTTGCCATATTCAGCTTCTTGGTGTCCTCCTACATAATGCTTTTGGTTATCAGAATTATTCACCTCTGACTCATAAATCACCATATAGACATGCAGCAAACAGGGTAGGAACTAGGAAGGCACCAAGAAGTGATTGAATTAATCATTCGCGCTTAAAGAACCCAGAAAATTTTGTTGATTCCTTCTGGAAATGAAGGCATTACTTTTTGCAATGCAACTTATGGACCAAAAGTCTAGCCTGTAGTCCAGTATGAGGAGGCCTTTAACTGCAGTTGGCGGACATGAATTTGGGATGGAGCGAGTTCAGTCTTTCAGTTTCCATACAATGGAAAAATGGGCTCCCACAACTTTCTTGTCAGTAGCTATTCGTTAAGGACAATCAAAATGTTTTATGAGGATCAGAGCCCAAGAGTGTAGTGTCCTTTTTTGTATTAGTGCTAATAAGAGATTAATGTTGTCAATCCCAAGTCTCAACTTAGGTCCTACCTGATAAACAGATTCAGGATTTAAATTTAATGAATTCAAATTTTAACATATTTTAAATTTAATGGATTCAAATCTTAATATGTTCACAAGCATTTGATAATAAAAAATTGAACATTTAAATTAATTGATGTTGAATTTTCTAAGTAAAACTTACTCCCAAAATAAGTTTATCACTTAATGTGATATATACTCAAATGTATTAGGTTTAGTACTTAATAATTTAATAAATTCATATTTCAGATTTTAATTTTCAAAATTTGTTTTATCAAACGCACTCTTAACCAACAAGGATATTAGTTGGGTGATCGTGTGACATCTTTGATTTAACTCTTAAGTTTTCTCCTTTATAAGGTTTGGAGTCTCTTTTAAAAAAACAAAAAAGATTAATGTTGTCTCATCTCCTCTAGAGTTTCTTTTCTAAAAGGTAAAAGCTTACCACCAGAAAAGTTGTAAATTTTAGTTTTTTTTCCCTTGTATGTTACAAAAAAAAAAAAAGAAAAGAAAAAGTTGCACTATCATAATTAGAGGGAGTTCTACTGTACCTTTTGAGTGCCATGCCATTACATATTAATTTACTATTAGATGTAACGAAAAGAGATATCAGCACTTAAATGGTTTTAAGAGTTTAAATTATTGAATGATGTGACGAGAGTTTGTTGGATTACAATCATATTGGTATGACACCCAAAAGAGATGGTAGGATTTTGCCATAATTAGAGTGTCAAATATAGATGAGGATTAATTTATTATGCACTAAGATTGTTTTAACGCTAACAGTTTTGAATGTATGCCACATATATATAATTTGATGTCATGTTATATAGTATGATCTAAACCTACTAGTGTAAAATAAAATTACACACTAACAGTGTATGAAAAAATTATCCTATAGCTAATTGTACAGCTTCGTTTGGTCGTAGTCCCCATATCCACATTAAAATCATCACTGTATCATTTTTTTTATTTTTATTTCAACTGATTATTATAAGCTTGACCTTGGCATGTATGCTACATTGGTGACTGTTCTAACTTGTCACATTATCACAAAAAACGAGCACATGTTTGCTTAACAGAACTCAATTGCTTATTGAAAAAAAAAATTAGAATTTATAAGTTATTGGTTTCTCGTTCAAAACTCTTAACTGCCATATAGTGTATTATATATATTATCAAACCTAAAACGAAGCTAGCGACTATGCCAAGAAATAGTGCAGGTAAGGAGAAAGCAAGGACGGTGTGTTGTGGATGCCCGACATAAGCTCAGGTTCCCAGTGCAATGATTCATGGACAAAATCAACAGCATGATAACTGTTACTTATTCCATGTACAAAAACTTGGAACAAACGTTGAAATTTCTGTTGACTGATGGGAGGAAAGGAGAAGATTTTTGTTAGCAAAAAATTGATGATATAGCTGGAAATTGTTTTATGTCATTATGATGATCGCGGCCACACAGAGGAACTTATGGGAAAGACGTGAGTAGGTCCAAAGCGCTTTTCCCCATCTACGTTTTGGTACTCATGATATTGTACAAAATCGTACATCAATTATAACACCAGGGATCTCTTATTATTTCCAGAATAATTCATGGAACCCACAGGAATATCTTTAATATGATTTTTTTACTCATTCTCTTTTGGGTAATTCGAACCAATATAGCGCTGAAAATAAAATAAAGCTTATATGGCGATGAAGTCAAAGGTTGCAAAAATTTTCCTTATTAACAAAGAGATGTAATTTTCTATTCCCACCAAATGCAAATCCTTGAATTGAAGTACTTGTAAATTGTAAGTTGGGATGAAATGAATCTTGCGGTCAGTTTAATTTTTTTTTTTTGGTCTCTGCTTACTGAACTAATTTAATTTAATTTCTGGGTTATCTAGATCGCGAACCACCAATTTATGCAGCAGAATTTTGCATACGAAGTTAAAGAGAAATGTATAGATGATGCTCAAAGCGCATGGAAAGACACTAGATTAGGTTCAAATTGGTCTCAAATTACATTCCCTTAAAAACGAGCCATAAATTTGAGGGACATATAATTTGGAAGTCCACTGTCGTGTTTGTGATGTTAACACCATTCGTCTTCGATATGTGTGATTTGCATAATGTAAACTAGGGGGGAGTGCCCGCGCGATAATGCCTGTGGGGAAGGAGGTTTTTTTTGTTAAACAAACAATAGTACATTGTGAGAAGAAATAAAACTTAGTATGAAAAGATAAATGATATAATCAATCAATTCGTCACCGAAAACTAACAATAATGCAGAAAGGCAGAACAACATAAAAAACTAATCTTATTATAGAATTCTCACCGAGAGCTCTTTCTTACTGTTGCTCTAAACCTATAAGATTATAACCAACCAGACCAATTGGAGTTAGACAACGTGAAAAATGCTATCTTGTAGCTAGGTAACGCGATAAGAATCGCTAATTGTAGGTACTAAGAATACACTGATAAAATTAAGGGAAGAACTGAAAAATTGGGGGGGTGAAATTTAACCTCACGCTGAACCACCAGGAGTAGCTGGGACTGAAGAGCATTCTAAGCTGATTGGTATGAAACCAGGTAGAATTATCCCAATCCTACAATGCGAACAGGGAGAAACTGATAATCAACTGTTTAGACATTAACATACCAACGGTTTGGCAATTGAATTGGGTGTAATTGATGACGAAATAATAGTTAATTTCAGAATTGAGCTCGGATGGAAGAGAAAACGATTAGGCAAATCGTTGTAGACAAAAGGCAAAAAGGGAAAACTTAACTCCTGAAACTGAAAGGGGATAAACTGACCAATGTTTGTGGCTCATAAATGCAGATTATAAATGATAGATAAATGGGTTCCTACCATTGATGGAGAAATCATTGGTTCATTTCCTAAATGCAATTGCCATTCAAACGTTTCAGACAAAACAACATTTCAAACGGTTATCTGCGATTGAAAAGGGGAATTATTGGTAGTTAAGGGATATTCCGGTAATTACACAAACATACAAGCATATATGGGTTGTACAAAATGCAAAAAACGGTTGCACATTAATTACACATTCCTTCAATACTCACATGACTCATCAATGACAACTTTAAATGTATTAAAATGGGATCATTTCAGTAAACATACCCTAATACATGTTTCCTTAACTTGTACTTAAAACTTTTAAACTAATACACAATATTTCACATTCCAAAAAAAATCCCCACCTATGCGGTTGAAATTCAACTTATTCTTTGACTAAAACTCAATCTTATATAGTATAAGGAAAGGAAATGATCACTTTTTTAAAGGATCGCCGGTAAATTGTTATGTTTTTAAATTTTTTTTGACCTTCCACTCTTTTTCTCACTCTTTCTACTTTCAACTGTAAGACTCAAGATTTTAATTGTAAACTTGACGGTGAAACGAACGATGAGAAACCTCTATTTCTTAATCACTGGGCCAACCGCAGCGATTGATGAAGCTTATGTTTTGATTTCTTTTCAAATAATTCAAAATTAAACAAGCACTTTAATTTTGGCCACTCGCAAAATGCTTTTATTTGTTTTGTCACCTCATAATATTCTTGAATTACGGAAAGCGAAGACAAGTGAAGCTGCACATTGTCTAATTTACTGTTGATTTTATCCGTCTTGAACTGTCAAGTCTCAAGACTGTCCACAATGTTTGTGTTTCATTCAACAGGATTCCATCTTTTGTCACTAGGAATTGCATTTTTTTGTTAGTATAAAGAAATTGATTTGAATGGGAATTATGGGATTCACTGCACGTGTAACTTGTACCAGTCATGAGTCGCTGTCTAAATAGTAGGATTGAATTTTGACACAAATCTCTAGACAAAGTCTTCATCTTGAATGCCGTCTTCCCTCGTGGACCCAATCCGAGACCTACCCCTATTTTCGTCTTCATCCCACTCACTGTCGGCGACACATCTGAAAACGGAGTGCTTTTAACAATTGTACTACAAGTTTTACTAGCGTGAAAAATGTATCAAAACCCTAAAAAGACCTCTAAAATTTTACTATTTCCTACTTCTTTTTTTTTTTTTTTTATAGACTCAATCATTTAATGATGGCAATCCCAATTTGCAATGTCACTTCAAATTTAGCAAAGGCCGCCTCATGCGGATCTAATTCGACATTAATTACCTTAGCTTGCTGCTTTAGTTTCTAGCTTTTATCCAATCCATAATAGCAAAACATATATTATTGTTTAGGGTGAGAAAGTAGATTGTAACTGGTGAATGTGCAGTTGTGCCTAGAATAAGGTCCACTATCAGTTTTTGAAAGCTGGTTTTTCTGTTTGGCTTTGTTTGGTTCTGGAGTTTTGCTTACTGCATTTATCTGTTTTCTTGTGATGTAATTGAATTAAGGCATATATGCCCTTTTAATTGTGTACTCGTATCTTGCTGATCGATGAAAAGTTACAGAGCTTACACACACTCACACACACAAAAAAAAAAAGGAAGTGATTAGTTGTGTTCTAACAGCAATGTTCACGATCAAGAAAAAGGTTAAATCAATTATGCCTGCCATTGTTGTGTATCGAACTAAAAAATTCGCAGTTTGTTTGGATTGCTATTTTTTTTTGAAAATTTTTTGTAGATAAATATACTCTAATGATTTAGTATACTTAAGATAAAAAAATGTTCATAAAAAGCGTAAAAATTCTTTTGGGAGAATTGGCAATCCAAACAAGCATAATTACAAGTTTCTTATAGCAGCGTCATTACCTATATTCTTCATTGGGCGTACTTTAAACTTGAAAGGAGGACTAAGAGATGGGTATTTTTCTTAGTATAATGAGGAGGGGACTTTAATATTCATCAGGATGCTTCCAAACACCACCCTGAGCCCTAAACAGTAAACGCCAACAAGCCCTGGTTGTGGCATTCTTCTTTTTTTAATTTTTAATTTTAATTTTTAAATACGAGAGTAGAATATTTGGTGAGTGCGTACTGCATCACATATTATAATTGATTTGATGCTGCATTTATTTAAAGCTGAAAAATGGCTGGCATGTTGGGACGTTGCCTCATACGAACGGAGGCAAAAATCTTGTAATTTGATATCAGTCTGCTTTCCTACCCACCTTCCAATTGGCCATGTTTACTTTCTTTAGTTTTATTTATACGCAAAAAACACAGCTAAGCCTCTCCTCCTCCCACTGCCACTGCCACTCCCAGTTCCCACTTTCCATTTCCACATCCTCTTTTGCACTCGTTCCAACTCTACTTACTCTTATATAAATCCTTCCCACCAGCCTTCTTTAACATAAAGCTGATAAAAGAGTAAATTTCCCTCACTTTCTCCTTCCCTTCAATTATCGGCTAATTGAAATGGCCCTGTCTTCATCAATATCCATATCACCAAGAAAGCTCAGAAATGATCTCTACTCACATTCGTATCAAGAAGATTCCAACATCCCATTGGTCATTTCCGTTCTTTCTTCTCTGATTGAAAGAACCCTGGCAAGAAACGAGAGAATTGCCAAGAAATGTACGTGGACCTCGACAACGTTGTCCAAAGATGTTAGAACCAGGGTTTTCGACTGCCACGAGTCGCCGGATATGACTATTCAGTCCTACCTGGAGAGAATTTTCAGGTACACCAGAGCTGGACCTTCGGTCTATGTTGTTGCATATGTGTATATCGATCGATTTTGCCAGTTATACTCCGAATTCCGAATCAGTCCCCGGAATGTACATAGGCTTCTTATCACAACTATTTTGGTCGCATCCAAATATGTGGAAGACATGTAAGTTCTTTCTTTCTTTCTGGAATTTCAGTTTCAGTAATCAATTTTTCTTTGAAACTGCAGTAGTTTAAGATAATAATTCCTATTTTTGCAGCTTAACAAACTCCCTAACGTTAGGCTTTTTTTTCCTTCTGATTTTACTCTTCAGTGCCTTTATTTTTTCCCCTAAAATTCTAGTAGTATGAAGCCATGAATATTTTGTCTAATGAAACTTTTCTTTCGTTGTACGCAGGAATTATAGGAATTCTTATTTTGCACGAGTTGGGGGATTGACAACAAAGGAAATTAACAAATTGGAGCTGGAATTCTTGTTCTTGATGGGGTTCAAGTTGCACGTAAATGTAAGTGTTTTCGAGAGTTACTGCTGCCATTTGGAAAGAGAAGTGAGCATCGGAGGAGGGTATCAAATTGAGAGGACAATCCGATGTGCCGAAGAAATCAAGTCAAAGCAAAGAGAACAAAGAGGCTACAGTCAAATTGCTAGAGTTTTGTTATAGAAGATCACCAATAGAGAGAGTAATTCATGCTGCAATTTTAATTTATTACCGCCTGTTGCTGTAAATTTTTTTTTTTTTGTTTTTTTTTTGTTTTGGGGGTACAAAATTGTATAGAAGAATTTTCCTTTTAATGCTTAAAACTGTTGTGCCCAGCATTTATGTAGCTTGGTGCGGTACAATTAGCAATTAAAGCTTGTGGGCTATTTCTATCTTTTTACCTTCACATGTTACCAGTTTTGGGAAACGTCATCGGTTTGACCTCACTTTAATGTTTGGTTAGGGTGCGACAGATGTTGAAATTAAAGATGCTGAATGATTAGCTGCCAGCCAACAACTAAGGCCAAGGAGTGCAGTCAGAAGAGCCGTACGTCGGTCCAATTGGAAAATTTTTCTTTTGAGAGTGAGGGAGAGGAGGACTTGAACGCAAAATCTACCTCTTAGGATAATCTAACCTTTTTTCGCAAAAAATTTTGAATAGGCAAGATCAGCCAATTCTCAATTCATCTAACATTTTTTTTGCGAAAATTTTTGAATAGGCAAGATCAGCCCATTCTCAATTTGGGTAGGATGAGTACAGGAAAGGAAAGTGTAAGTGAGAGATTTATATTTGAAAAAAAAAATTACTTAAAGAAAAGATCCTCCAATTTAATAATTTCTGTGTCATTAGATGCCCACGAGGATTAGCCTATTTAGCTCCATCTAGAAAGCTAACTGGTTTTGACGTTTTTCACCTTTTACCGGGGCATTGCTCATTAGACCGGCGTGGGGACAGACAGCCCTCCTCGACAAATGAGAAATTAATTGAATGCAAGAAGGAGAGGGGGCCAATACAGAGTTGCAGGCCTATTTGGAGGCCTAGCTAATAGATCGAGTAAGCGAGCAAGATTTTACACTGGTTTTAACTTTTAAAACAAAAAAAAAAAATCAGCTTCTTCAGTAGCGTCAATTATTTTTCTTCCAGTACAAAGAAACACGTACACAATTAGATTAAAAAAGCACTCAGAAAGTCATTAGTTAAACGACCCGCCCGCGAGAGTAGTCTAAAAGAAACTCACAAAAAATTCACATTCACTCAATTGATGATAAAACAAGACTCCTATAAATCTTAAATTCAGGTTAAAAAAATCCAGATTAAGTACCGTCAATTGTTTGTTTTGTCTTTTTTTTTTTTTGACATGTCTGATCAAGGCGAAATAATAGACTTTGATCTTCTTGATCTTGCGGCTGTACCGTGTATCAATTGACATCTTAGCAGGGAATAAAACTTCTGGAGGATAATAATTTGCCTAGTTATTATAGAACTAATTAACTTTGTCTTCAAAAATCAGAAGCTACTTTTATAGGTTTTCTTTCATTCTTGACATCTCCAGCTTTGTATTGTATACTTCAAACACGAGTTCTACATGAATTAATCTTTGGAGAAAACATAGCCCTTTAAATTTGCAAGGTCCTAAGACCATTAGTCAGTACTCAGCATTATATTTATACGTCATGATGTTGTTTTAGATCACACATACTCTGAAAAGAAAGGAAAAACACACAGTTAAGTGAATTAACAAAGCATGGTTTGAGGGAATAGATATTACAAAATTACTACATAATTTCTTGGCTCGATCACCTAAGTGACAAGTCGGGATTATTTGCAACAAGATCTGGCAATCCTCGAGCAGGCTATTTTTCTTCTCACTTGATTGACGGTGGAGGGCTGCATATTCTATTCACTAATAAGTTGAGAATCAGATTGTAGAATGATTTTGAGGTCAACTAAAACGACCTCAACATATTGAAGATCGGTTAATAAGCCATAACAGAGTGATACTTAATTTTTTTGAATTTTAATTGATACAATGAGCATACGCTCCAATCATAGTAATCATAACCGCTTTGCTTTCGCTTTATGTGTAGTTATTACATTACAATCATTATAGGAGAAAAAAGTCGGATGGTTGTTAAAGTGGCAAATTTGATTTGTTAGCTTGGATGTCTCTCCAAACGAATTGATAGACAATAAAGCCTAATTATTGAATCAATTTGAATTCCTCCACCTGTTATTGTCATTTATATTGAACATAATTAAGCAGTTTTGACTCTTTGATGTGTAGCTTACCATTCAAAAGAAGAGAACCGGTTTATGAGCTGTCAAATGCATTTACAAGCACACGCATTGAAATAGCTCAATAACTGGGATTTAAGTGTCTCAATCATTATTGAATTCATAAAAAAAAAGAAAGTATATAACTATTTGGACTAATCTTTGCTATATTGACAGTGTATATACTGTCAGCGTTGTATGGATGGCAATTATGTAAAATTTGAATTTGAAATTTAACTTTTGCATACATGTTATGAATCAAACGATGATAGTGTATACACTGTCGATCAGTGTATATAAGATTTACTCGTTCTATCTGTGCCCAGTTTTTGTTGTAAGGGGAATATTCAATTATGGTCAAAACAAGAAAGATGAAATTGACAAAAAAGTTGTACATAAAGAAAGACGGAAAATTAACTGGATGTTTTTGCATTCTCATTTACATCGGACTGCGGTTCATTCTTTCTACAACTATTAATCCCAACTTATGATCATTGATAGGACCATTACCATATTTAAAAGTGCATATCATACCTTTTTTGCAGACAACCCTCCCAAGCTCAACAATTACGATGCACCTTTGGAATCAAATATCAAAGTAGAAAATCCATTTTGCTGAATAATTTGAATCTTTTCTTTTCGGGAACAGATATCCTTTCATTATTCTGAAATTTCACAAAAATACGAAAATATTCATCCAAATCAGAGCTACTTTTTCCCACACATTTGGTTGCTACAACTAGAGTTAATAAATCAATCAATCAATGTTTTTAAGTTGTAGAACTAGAACACAACAAAGGCTCCTGCTTATTGCTATTATTTTCAACCACCTTAACATGCACATATCTATTGTTACATCTGATAGACTAACATTCACATTGATGATGACCTACCTTATACCATAATTATGGCTCTAAATTTTAGATCTATCTCGCCTTTTAAAATTATTTTGCTGATTATTTTGCTCTATATTTTGTTGTTTTCTATTAAAATTTTTATTTCTTCACCGGTAAAAAATAACTACCTCTACCACGGCCTCAAAAATCCTGGGTCCGTTGTTTTGTATCTGCAATATTTGATGCCTCCCCTTTTTTCTTTGGGTTGGTTTATCTTCACCTGTAACGCTGACTCCACACTATATGTGTGTCTAGACCTCTGATTTAGGCACATCTCATACATCGTCAACTAGCCTTCAAAATCAGCAAGGCTCCAAGTATCAAGGTCCTCAGTGGCTTCACAAGCCCTTTTCTTGGTGTAACATTTGATAGTCAGAGATTACATAACTTCTTCAACAACTATAAATTCTTCCAGTTTTTTCACCAAAATTTGATTGTTGGTAGTTCATGAACATCAAGCACTTGAATTCTAGAAATTAAGGAAAATTTTGAATGTTAGTCATCTAACTATATAATATATAGTAAGATCAAGCTCTAGTTTTGCAGTATTATTTTGTTGATATTTGACCCCTGATCACCTTGTCAACCCCTTGATGATGTTTTAGGCTTTTACGTTTTTCCTTCCACACCTCAGCTTCGTTAACCACCTAATTACAAGAAGTCTAATTGGCAGCAGATGTAATACATTCCGTGCCCTCCTCTCCCTCCTCTCTCCCCCCCCCCCCCCCCCAAAAAAACACCCTAATCACCCTCTCCACTTCCAGCTCCGACCGTGGAGAACTTGTTAGGTTGCCTTAATTAATGGAACAAGTCTTCACCAAGGCATATATTTAATTAATCCTTGGTTGTCTGCGTTGTTCATACGTCTCTAGTCTAGAAGTATCATAAAACGACAAGCAATGAATTCTTTAATTAACTTCATCGAACGAATAATGACCATCTCCAAGCCATTTGTTTCAATCAATCATATACAAATTCGTCAAACTTTGTCCTTTTCGAAAAGAAGACTTGAACAAATTAATCATTCTGCTGGCTTTGGAGTCCAGACTAATCCTCATCCGGGCATTATGTTTCTCATGCTTTAGAATCATATAAATATATCTTGTGTGTAGGATCTACTTTTAACTTTAATCATGTTTTGGTACGTCACTTAAGCGACATGCACCTAACTGTAGTATTATTGTTAATGCGAAGATCATCAGAAGTAGTATTATTTTTTTTGTCAAGTTAAGCTTAGATGGCATGATGATTGTTACTGGTTGAGTGCCCTAGGGTTGAAAAACGACAAGCAATGCAAGATATGGTTTCCAGTGTTCGATTCAATTGTGTTCATACCGCACGACGATTGAACTGAACAAGTTTGGATTGTTAAAATATCAGTTCTGTCTGTTGTCATTTTTGCCTTTTGTTGTGGAAGAGAGTTCCAGGTGCTGAAAAAACTCATGAAGATGAGTCTATTCAAGTTCTTTTGCCTCCTTCCCCTGATAGCTTATATTCTGCTACATCAACATTTTTGTTCAGCAGGTTTTTACTCGAGAAACTTTTACTTCAAAGGTATATAGCTCCAGCAATTTCACTGCGGGGATGAAATGTATCCTGGTGAAGACCAAATTAGAAAGACCATCAAAAGACATCCCAAGGCCAAGGACTTGGAAGAATAGTGGAGCCGAGATTCCTCGTGAATTCCCAAGATCAGCATATATTTTTTGGACCTCGAATAGGCCGGCCCACACGTTAGTGTTCACAGACCATGCCTCGTAGGTTCATACACAAGAAGTACTTCGATCCCATTTGAGCACAAATAAGTGAAGAGGACTTTTCCCGTATAAAATCCTCCAAAACAAACAAAAGACAGCCCACGAAACACCACATTTCTCTTGACCCAAAAGGCCCTTGCAGGCTTTTGTGGGAATATATATATATTTTCTAGGGTAAGTGGGGAGGTTTTAAAAGTAGAACCTATCAATCAATTAGGGGTTCAATCGGATTTTTTGAGCCAAATTTGAGCAAGTTCAAACTCGACCCGCAAGTTACATGGATTGTGGGGTTTCTGGCTTTTGGCCTTCAAGTTCATATTAAAAAGGGTCAAACTCAACCCATACTATTATACGAGTTTCGACTTCAAATTGGGCCTTGGCCCAAATTCACAATTAAATACATAATTATAGATAATATATATTTTATACTTATGAATTAATACAAATTTACATACAAATTATTAACATTGTATGTCATAATATTTACTAGTATTCAAGGCACACACTAATGTGTATGCAACTAATAGAAAAAAAAATATTTGTGAAATATTTTGAGCATATTTATTGAAATCATTTTCAAAAAAATTGGTTTTATGTTTTGAAAAAACATATGTAAAACATTCAACAAAATAAAAGTTATAAAAATAATTATTTGGTAGTTCTTCATAACCATAATTGGTAGTTGCTAATTAAAATTAAGATTTATAAAATAAGTTGAAAAATAGAATATGAAATAATACATATTACTTGGTAAAAAATCATGTTGGTAGTTGGCAGTTGTCAAAGAAAGATATATTTTTGTTTATACCAAAAGTTTCCTTATCACCAATGGCAGTTTAGGAAGTATATATAGTGACAAATTTTTGTTTACTCCAAATCTCCTCCTCTCCCTTTATATGTAGTACAGATAATTATAAATTATGGATATTATTATTGTATATATTACATATCTAATTATACACATATGACCTTTAATCGTGTTTGAGTCTCGTATGGCCCAAACTTGACTCATATTTAGTTCGGATATAATATTTAGCCCCAATCTTTGTCCACCTCAATTAAAATTTAGACACAGTGAGCTTTTTTCGGATAGAACGGGTCGATTTCAGAGTCGGTCCAACCCCACTGATAGTCTTACATTCAATCCAACCCTCCTCTCCTTTCCCTCCCCCTCCCCTCCGCGGGCATGTTTGACAACACATGATAAAAAGAATAAAAAAGATATGCTTTTCTTTATGAATTAAAAAAGAAAAAAGAAAAACCCCGCATACTTATTTTCCTTCTTAATCCAAAAAATGGCGTAGCAGTATGCTATTTCATATCATCTACCTTCTTTTTCCGCCAACAACTTAGTAGTTTTGTAACTAAGAAATGGACATAAATCCTAGTCCAAAAGGAAATGTGTAATTCTACCATCTCAAGCAAATCATAAACGATAAGTCAAAAAATTTAATGGAGTAAAGCAACGAAACTATTCAGCCTTGGCTGAGGAGGTTAATTCGTAGTTGAATGAATTGTAAACAGTTATTCTGTGCCTAGGCTGAAATGAGTAAAACCACATGCTACATCTTCAGTCACTTTGACGTTGTCAAATGAAACAAATGTCTTAAAATTTGATGGAACAAAAAGTTAACGTATCCTCCACGGGTTCATCTTTTTTATTTGGTCACCTTCTTCGATCCCCAGCAGTGTTGATGGCGATAATTAACCATGTGGATGTGGAGCATGACATGAAGTGTGTCGTTTGGCTTAATTGAGAACACGCCATCTTTCAAGCCCACGTAAAATGTTCATTTAAAACGAGAAAAGCAGATCGATATGGTGTTTTGCAGCAAAATTTCTAGACTCAAACTAACCTAATCCAAACACTATTCACCAAAAAATTAAAGTATGTTGAAACTTAATCATTTTAAACTTGCTTTCGCTCACACGTTCGCAAGAACTAAAGACTTGAGTCAGACAGTAATGAGCCCAAATTCAAGTATGGAAAATAGATCGAGATAGTCTAGTATTCCTTTTTGCTTGGAAAGTCCGAAATTATTTAGTCTTCAAGCATGTTCATAATGTGTTTTTTACTGTAAAGTCCTGCCCAGCATGATTATCTATCCTTCCGATCTATAGTAGCCTTAGAGCAGTTTACGTACATGCATCTTAATTTGCAATTAATTTTGATTTAATCTCGTTCATTATCAATTTATTTCTTTCTTCATTGTTGATTTTAGATTTGTTAGCATGGGAGGTTTGGCCCGTTCGGGAAAAGAAGAAGCAGCTGGAAGGTTAAGGAAATAGACATACTGAGAACCGACAGTTATTTCTAAAACCAAATTTAATGATTGAACTAAGTCCAACTTTTTAATTATTAAGAATACTAGAATCGACATACAAGTCAATCATTCAATCTCATTGTAATCCCATGATTAATGCATGTGTACGATTCTTTAAACCAAATTTGAGTGGTCGAATTGAACTCTCCAGCATATCAAGGCGATGATTTGAACTGAATGTTTAGAAAAGGCAATACAATGGCGCGTGAATTAGCAAGACATGCCAATGACGTTAGTTATCAAGGTATAAGAATGTATAATTAATAATGCACCAAATTTATACAGCCTATTTTTTGGATGATTTTTAGTTATTTCTTATTAGAACAGCTTTAATTTTTCAAAACAGATCAGATGCATTTGGACTGGCGATATTTTCAAAGCAATAATGCCAAATCAAAATTTCCTCATGAGTCAAGATTACTCTCAATCAGTCAACTCCATATATTCTTTTTTCATATTTTTTAGATCCATTAAATACTATTTACTCGTCTTCTTCTCTTTTCAATTAAAGTTTTTTTTCTACTCAATTACATTCTTCTTTGTATCTCTCTCTCTCTCTCTCTCTCTCTCTCTTTGTCACATTAATTCATCAATTATTTTCATGATTTACTAAATTGGTTTCGGCTTTGATAATTTCTTGTATATTAATTCTACATGTTTTTTTTTTAAATTTTACTCAAAAGGTTCTTTTTTCAAACACAATGTAATTTAAGTCAAACTAAATAATGTTTAAAATGAAAATGATACCAAAAAATAACCTTAATTTTCCTTCGATATTCATGGGATATATAATGTAATGTAATTTAAGCTTAGTTGCATTTAATTGTTAGAGAATATGAAAACTTGATAATGTAATTTAAACTTATCATCATCTAATTATTAGAGATATGAATACTTGATAGAAATCAAGTCTTACATGATAAATGTGAATACTTGATACAAGAAAAAAATCAAGATTTTCAATGAGAAAAAGATGGTAAAACTTTAACAGTATTAGTTTCTTAGAGGCATGATAAATGAACAAAAATTCAAAGGAAAGAGGCATGTTGCATGAAATTTTTTTTTGGTGCTAAAGTATTGAGTTACAATGACATCATTATAATAATTAATTTAAACTGAAATTTGTTGGAGTTAAATGAGGTTCTATTTGTAAAAGAAAATAAATGAATAAATCAAAGTTTTAGAATTGAATAAAAAAAGCAAGAGCGAATAGAACCAAAAAAGATTCAAGAAAAGATTAAGAAAAAAAACATGTTTTTTAATTATAAAATAGTAGATCTATTAGTGTGTGTGAGTAAGAAAGAAAAAAGTGAGAATAATAAGAAGAAGAGTGAGAGACCCTAATGGAAAAATACTTAATTAGAGAGAGAAAAGATGAGTAATTAATGCATGATGGATCCTAGAAAAGTCAATAAACATATAAAAAGTTGATTGATTGAGGAGGGTAATCTTGGCATTTGAATAAAATACGCTCTAGCAGAAAAATAATTGCTCTAACAATGTCACTTGCCGACACATTAGTGGCATGATCTATGTGTGTTTTTTTTTGCCATTAATACGGTTTTTTGTATCAAATAAATTGTGTTGAACGGCTTTCAGTTAGTTTATTACTAATATTAGCTTCTGTTTGATTGAAAAATAGCTTATTTTTTTAATAACAAAAATATGATTCTTGAAAAGAGAGAAGAAAGAAAATCTAACCAGACACTCAATCGCCAAAATTCAAAAAGCAGAAAAGAAAAATCTGCTTTGAGTAGAAGTCCGGGAGACTTTAGGCAAATAGTAGGCACGCAATCACGGTCCAATTTCTCATGTTGGAGCGCGACAGCCACGTGGGGAGTTCGTATATACGGCCAAAACATAACCGTGAGATTCAACGGCCAACGGCCAAAACCACCATTAACGGCTAACATACGGGCAATTTATGTCCCCCTTTTCAGTTATGTGCGCCAAATATTCTACGAGGAGAGTGGCCTTGAAAACGGGGTCTTTGTTTGGACATATTTTCTACTGGTTAGACTTTTTGGCTTGTTTGTCGCAGCGCATGGAAATAATTTGCAATTTTCATTTATTTGTCGCAGCTCGTAACTAATTAATGAACGTAATTAGTTGATATACATAATTATTTTTTTTGGGAAAATAATCATTTCCATGTTTGTAATTCTTCTGGATCCCTTGCTTTCAAGTCATGCAAAAATTTCTTTTGACTACTAGTTTCTCCAGTCTTTTCATCAACCAAAAAAAAAGGAAACCTCCAGGTCCCATCAGTTAGCGCCCCTTACATCGGACTCCATAATTTTTTCTTCATGCTGATATTACGATGACGTATTGAGGTGGAATTGGCCCTTGATTTTTTGTTGCTTAGTGCTCTCTTTGGCATCAGAGGATCTTATCTATCAGTTACATTCTTCCTAACTCAAGCATTTATTCAAGATTGGATTGCGATACAGTACTATTTTAAAGTAATCCTCTGACCCTTTTTTACACTCAGTCTCACCTCTAACTATCAAATATAAGATTCGAATCCTCTTAAACTGACGGCGGAAAAGGCTCCAAGAACAAAGAGTCAAATTAATTTGCCACAATAGTGCCGCTCATTAGGAATTAATAGTGCTAATTTTGATGCCCCATAAATAAGTACACGAAGAACGAAGACCATATTCATGGTCAATAACTGCAAATCTTTTACTAGTCTTTAACAGATTCTACAGTAGTCAAATCTCTAATACTGTATCAGTGTATAGTATAGGCTTTGTAGAACATATTGCACATGGCAAAATTCTCTTGTTCCACCACAATAGACGGGACTGAAGCTTGGCTTCTTTGGGAGCCTGGCCTCTATAAATAGCAGCGAAATTCTCAAAATCCAATCAAACCAAATCCATCAAACCTAAAGCATAGGAAGATATATAGAGCACTGATTTTTTAGCGACCTTCATCCCTTCATCATGGCAACTAATTATCTCCTCTACCTTTCCTCCTACTTAACTCTCTTTTTCCTGGTTACAAACTTCTGCTCTTGCTTCAACCCCAAGCTTCTTAATGTATCGAAAATTCAATACCAATCCCAATCTGATTGGTCACCCGCTGGTGCAACCTGGTATGGAAGCCCTACTGGCGCAGGAAGTGATGGTAAGAGAACGAAAACAAAAAATGATATATAACTGTGTCCCCGATTGCCCGATGAGGTACATGTATCTCATCCGGGCAAAATCATCTCAGCTTGAACTGTTGTTAACGTATAATTCACATATTGAGATTGTAATAAACAACGACATTACAAGATTCTGTGTTTTTATTGTTTAAGGATTATACGCCTTACACTTATGAATTTACGTACGTCAAAGAAGAAAACCTGTTTACCAACAATATTCCGACATAAAATCAATGAATTAATTCTGATAACTCCTATTTTCAATCAACAATGTAGGTGGGGCTTGTGGATACACCAGTGCGGTTGATCAGCCACCATTCTCTTCTTTAATATCGGCAGGAGGTCCTTCCCTCTATAACTCGGGCAAAGGTTGTGGAGCATGCTATCAGGTGCATGCCACAAGACACACAAGAATATTAAGTTGTTCAGAAATTTCTAAATCCGTATAAAATGTTACATCTTTTTATGCAGTTGTGCGTACTTAATTTTGGCTGTCTTATGCGTAGTTTTCTTTTGTTTCGTACTACGTACAAATCTTCAGGTTAAATGCACAGAAGATGTTAATGGAGCATGCTCAGGATCTCCTGTTACTGTGGTTATAACCGATCAATGTCCAGGAGGTCCTTGCGTCTCAGATTCAGTTCACTTCGATTTAAGTGGCACAGCTTTTGGAGCCATGGCCACTTCCGGCGAAGCTGATGAATTGCGCAATGCCGGAGTCCTAAAAATACAGTATAAGAGGTTAGAAATCAGATATTCTTCTTTTTCCAGGCGAAAGTTTCCGTCATTCTTGACTAATTTTTACTGCTCGAAATTGACTAAGGTCATGCTACAAATACCCTACGACGTACCAAGTCAAAAAAATATGCTCCAATCAGATTGACAATGCGAAGTACAAAGCTAAAAATTCAAACTAAATGGACAGTCAGTCGTATGGCAAAAATTATGGGAACATGTTTTTCACTAAATGAAGGTCGTCGTAATCTGATTAGTGTCATCATAACCTGATTTTCCAAGAGAGATGACGCCATGACATTTGTTATATATAGTTTTAACAACAGAACATCATACTCGACATTTTTTCATTAATGCAATTTTCAATTCTGAACAGGGTTCCGTGTAACTATCCTGGAGTATCTGTGGCCTTTCACGTCGATGCTGGCTCCAATCCCGACTATTTTGCCGCATTGGTTGAATTCGAAGATGGGGATGGCGAACTTTCGGGGGTTCAACTCAAACAAGCACTGGATTCGGAATCATGGCTTCCCATGCAGCAATCTTGGGGTGCTGTCTGGAAATTGGACACGGGTTCTACATTGCAAGCTCCATTTTCAATTAAGCTAACAGCAGAATCCGGCGCCACTCTGGTGGCAAACAATGTCATCCCTGCTGGCTGGCAACCTGGAAGCACTTATAGATCAGTTGTAAATTTCAATGCCTAGGTTTAAGGAATATAAGAACCAGCTCATAGTTTTTATTAGAGCAAAATGGATGATGAGTACATCGTCAAGGAAATAAGGTTCGACTAGTAACTCTATAGATCTGTACTAGTAATAGTTGACACTTACATCCTTTTTTCTTTTCAGCTGAAATAAATGGAAAAACTTCATTATGGAGCAAAGATAAATGTTGCTTTCCTACATCCTAAAAAAAACAAAAAGATAAATGTTGCTAATATAGCATAGAAACTAGTACTACTAAATCATTATGGTCGATCCAGTGATTAAGGAGAGGGCTCTTAGAATCCTTCCGACTATCCAAAAAAAATAAATCTAATACTACTAATTTCTGTTGCTTGCATTTATAGAGTGCAAGTCAACCACTATCGAGTTGCATTGATTTCCTTAATTTTTTTTTTCACAAGCATTTAACCTCTCTTCTTTACGTGTTTAGACAAAATTACTCCTGTATGATAAAGCTCCAGAAACTGCAGAAAGATTTGTAAGAAATTACGCCTAATAATCTATGAATATGCGAGATTAAGGAAATTTAGTAACTGGATAATTTATTGCAGAAGTTGCGATTCATCTAGTCCCTAAATCTTTCAAACTCAGATTACACGAATCAATTTAGTCCCCTCAAACTAACTTTTGAATTCGAAAATCTCTATCATTAATAGTCGACTGTAAACTTACTTTTCCTTAAAAAAAATTCTACAAGAAAGAAAGAGGTGAAATTTAAAAAGTGAGAAAGGGGAATGGAAATTAGAACTCAAGACTTGGGGTGAGATTTAAGAAATGGAGAGAAGGAATGAAAATTAGGACCTAGAATCTGTGAGTTTTGACATCTTAATTTTAGCCACTTGATTAAAGTCTTCTCGACATACACACACCGTTCTTTTCTTTTTATGCTGTAAATCTATTTGTGGAATCCATGATAGAATAGACATAGTTTAACAATAGCAGAAGTATCTCTTGTTATCATTCTTGTATATATGGTGGTTTTCTATCCTTTAATCATCAGAACAGAAGCAATAAAAGTTGCTCTAGCTTCGTGTCAGTTTTTTACAAAGTAAATTGTTGTTTAGATGGCTCTTAGTATGCTAAGGAGGTCCAGGGGTAATCCGAAAAGGATTGAATCATCACCAGATCAGACGGGTGCATTACAGCACACTCGCCTGGATTTTTGAAATCAAGCCACTTTAAATGTGCCTCCCACCCCACCCAGCCTTGGTTGCATGAGATTTCTCTTTTGCTAACTTTCATAGGTCTTTTCTCTACATTTAGTTCTTCCAGGAGTGTCAAGTCACATAATGCTTCTCAATCTTTAGCTAGTTTTTCACCTGCCGTTGCAACATTTTATGGGGATCCCCATGGAGCAGGCAGCACTGGTTCGTATATGGTGACACAAATGTTATATTCCAGCTCTTCAGATTGTATTGTCATTCATGCATATTTCCCTTTCAAGCGAACATTATAATAAAATTAGTTTAGGGTGCGACAAAGAATTTTCCATTACATTTTGTGGAGGCAAGCAACATTTTTATTTTCTTTTTGACAAGTCAGATCTAACATTTACAATTAATTAAAGAATGAAACAGTAAAAAATTTTAAAAAAAAATCAGAAAGGGCAAAGCTGTTGGTTTTCGGAGCGATTTCTTTTTGTCAAAGACTAAAAAGCGTGAAATAGGTAAAAGTAATTAACATTCAATGTTCTAAACCTTGATGAACCGCCCATCATTTAAGCAGTAATATGTTTGAAAATTTCAATGGTTAATTCGGTGAGTAGGAGGAGCTTGTGGATATGAAGATGCTGTGGAGAAGCCACCTTTCTTATCTAGAGTTTCTGCTGGAAATGAAGCTTCATTTAAGCAGGGCAAAGGCTGTGGAAGTTGCTATTTGGTACTAATTAATTATCCATCTATTAATTGTCTTTACTACATCATAGAATCCTGTACACCTTTACCTCATCGAAAATTCTAATACACCTAAAAAAATATCTCCAGTCTCAACCAAAATTGTGACAAGACAAGGCAAGAGATATTCTTAGCCAGTGATAAGTCATTTCAAGTTATTTTGCCTTTACTACTAAGTTGAGGATACGCATGCATGGATCCCAATTTTAGGTGTTATGCACAACAGCGTCCAATTCGGCCTGTTCTGGTTCTGCAGTAACTGCAGTCATCACTGATCAGTGCGGCGGTTCCTGCGGCGGTGAATGGCGATCCTGTTCATTTTGATCCAAGTGGAACTGCTTTAGGGGCTTTGGCAAAGCGTTGCCAAGCCGATCAATTGCGCAGCGCTGGCAGGATCAATATTCTTTATCAAAGGATAATTAGTGCTTCCTTTTTATGTTAATTGCTCACATCTAACTAATTAATTATTGGTCCAACCTCAATCAGTCGTATCATTTTCAGCATGTGATTTCAGCAACGGCTTAGTAATGGTAATGCAATCAAATTAAGTTTGTAGAAATGCTGATATGTATTGGAAATCTAGGAAAAACAAACTCTAAAAAAGAAAAAGACACAGAAAATTCTGAATACTAAGATGCCGAAAAACGTTCACGTACCATATGTGATTGTTTTCTTCTATTTCTTAGATTAATTATCATTCCTTTCGTCCTTGGTTGTCTAAGCATTTGTGGGACAGAAATGGCTTAGTATTGGCATTGAAGGATTACCATAACATCAATATACCTACCGTTTTATATATTGGTTGAAAGTTAGTAGATAAACTATTTTTATGTGTTTAATTAGATTACAGTACAATAAAATTAGCCCTATGGTTTTTTTTTTTTAGAATTTCTAAAACAAGTGATCAGTCAAAAAAAGAAAGACCTATGGTTTAATTTTTTTTTTTGACATAAGATCAAGCCCGTCATTAATTCTAAAAACTTAGAAGGTTGCGATGGACCAAATTCTTTTACGTGGTATTCCATGGCTACAATTAAAGCTCGAAAGTTTTAAAGTACAAGGGAGAATTTTGCATGCTGTAATCATATTTGAAGTCTCAGGGACTTATACCTTGAGAAAAGTTCGAAAATGATAGAATTCACGAGATGACGGGAATTAAAATCTCAAGAAGACCAAAAGTTCTAACTGAATACTATTAGAGATATTTATTAGTGTACACAAGTAATCGAAATAGAGGTTTATTACTTTTTTAACCCCTTTCAGGAAGAGATAATGGTGGCCTAAATCATTCAAAGGATCAACGAAAATTTTGGTCCCAAAAATTAAAGATTTTGAGTTAAGTCTCACAATTTTTTGAATTTAGACTAATTTTAAATTACTTCCTAGTATTTCTGAATTAATTATTTTTTATTATTAATCTCATCACCATTTTAGGCTGCTTGAGATCAAATGTCTCTGGAACAAATTGGCATAATTCTTAATCTTCAAGATAGCACTTCACTGATTGCAAGAATATATGTTTGGCCACAATCCAACAGATAAACAGTTCCTTAGACTTCGGGGTGGGCACGGGTCGGGTACCCGCTCCTAACAAGATATGGCTGACCCAACCCTAAAATATAGGATCAGCCATTTTTCGACCCTAACCCGCTCCTAATGTTTTCGGGTTCTTGAAAAAAAGGGGCGAGTCATAGGGTACCCGCCCCTAAAAAAAAAACTATTTTTCAATAAAAAAATATTTTTCACTTAATATCAACATATTTTCCAATAAAAAAAAGTATGCTTTCCAATTAACATTGGTAGATATATTATAATCAAAATCCATGCATCACCATTCTCACACATTTCATCCAATAATCAAACAGATTTCATAAATTTAGTACATATTAGAATTATAATATCTAATAGATAAAATGAAATTTTATGATAATTTTGAGTACATCACCGTTCTCACGCATTTCATTCTTCTATAACATAACAAACACAAGAATAATAAGTACATGGCAACTTTTCCAACCTTTTCAAGTATAACAAACACAAGGATAAAACGAAGTTTTATGATAATTTTGAGTACATCACCATTCTCACGTATTGCATTCTTTTACAACATAACAAATACAAGAATAATAAGTATATGACAACTTTTCCAAGTTCCTTAAGGATATTATGGTACAAGATTGCATCCAAAATGAGTCGATTGTGGAATCAAGTTCGGAAAAGAATTGAATAGAGCTAATAATTTTTGAAGAAAGTATAACCAAAATAATCTCGAAAAATTTTTCCCAACTTTCTTACACCTTTGGAATAGACCTTGTTGCATTAAAGGTGATGAAAAAGAAAAATAAATTTTTTGCACTAAAATAAAGGAAACAAATTTAAGAGACACAATTGCAATAAAATAAATAAATAAATGAAAGACACAAATGTTTTAATTATCTAGCTAACAGAAAATTGGAGCTCCAAACACAAATTTTTGATTGAATTGATCAAAATTTTGCAAAAAAGATCGATGGAAGTAGAATAAAAATGAAAAAGGATGAAAGAGATGAACAATTTTTATGATAGAGTTTCACAAAATTTTCTTTGTTTTATTCATTTGGTTCAGGTTTTACCCAGAATATTCACTTTTTTTAGACAAGATGAAGAGAGGCGGATCATATGAGATTAAAATATGAGGTTGTGAATTACTTTACTTACACTTAGGATTAAAAATTATAAAATTATATAATGAACTCTTATTTTTTTAATATTTATATAATATACCCTGCGGGTCGGGTACCTGCGATTTTTTATTTTGCTGATCCGTATCCGTATCCATTTTTGCGGGTACCCCAACCCGCATCTGCCCCATCAAGAAAAATCGGATCGGATATCCTATTTTTCGAATCAGATCGGATCGGGTTGGTCGGGTTTCGGATCGGATTGGGTTTTTTGCCCCCCCCCCCCCCCTACTTAGACTGACTAATAATCTCAATTCAGCCCTTTGCTTGCCAGCTACAGAATGCTCAAGATTATTCAAAAATTAACAGATGATATGTAACGTGAGCCGGGCTTCCAATTCGCTGGAATCGCATTTGGAGCCACAAGGCTTCGTCTGGATTCAACTTGTGTCAACCTGATGGAAAACGGCCCATTTGTCCCGGTTGGAATGTTGTACTTGTATGTTGCACCAAACACTTGTTGCATCGGAAACCACTGCCTGGATCCCGCCGGTTGGATCTCCGCAGAAGCAACGTCTCCATCACCATTTACGTACTCAATTGCAGCAGACAAGTAGTATCGATTGGAACCGGGGTCGACTTTGAACGCAATCTTCTGATTACCATAGTTGCACGAGTTAATCCCGAAAATTACTTCAGTAACAATAATATATTTATAGTACAGAAAAAAAATTGTCTTCTATTTTATCCCTGAAATCTACTGGCAAAACCTTTATCGTAAGTCTACGTACTATTTGCTCACCTTTGATAATGGACGTTGATTCTACCAAGTTTGCGCAAAACATCGGCCTGGCCTGGCTTTGCTAAGTAACCAAAAGCAGTTGAACTGAAATCAAAATGAACAGGATCATTGTTGCAGGCATTGGGACACTCATCTGTGATTGTTATCTTGACCGGAGAACCAGAGCATGCCCTATAAACGTTTGCACTGCATAGCACCTGAAATTGCATGCACGAGTCATTTGAAAACCAAGAAACCATCCCGGGTATAGTTAGCTACCAAAAATATCAAGCAGGCATTCTTCAAAAAAGAAAAAAATTATAGGCTGCTCTTGATTGCTGCGGATTTTGCAATATTGGATGGGTTTATAGGATCTAACCATTTTGCCAATTGAAAAATCTAAAATTCAGACAGAGAAAAAATACAAGGGCATGATACAAGATACTGATTTCTTGGAATTAAAATAAAAAAATTAGGTGAAATAAACGCCGTATCACGATTTAAGCTAGCAGCGACGTGCATTATAGAAGTAACTTATGCAAGCCAACAAAAACATGCAGAGTAAGCATTTACCGCATAGCAATTGCCGCAGCCTTTGCCCTGTTTAAATAGGGCTCGGTTTCCAGCAGCTATCTTGCTTGAGAAAGGTGGCTGAGCAATGTCATTTTGATTTCCAAATCCACATCCTCCGCCTGTGTGAATCAAAATGAAAATAAATGAATCTCATAGAAATGCATGTTATAGCCTAGTTTGATAATATTTGTGGCACATTAAGAGCAGTACTAAGAATTAATGATTGCAATATCTTAACAGGCTATCTTCGTTGTGTATTTTCTTACAAAGAAGGGAGGATATATTATCTTCTAATAAAATTATTTTGAACAGCAGATTTTTCTTCTACTAAAGTCATGACATTCAATAGTTACGTGTGTCCTGTAAAAGTGCATACCACGCCCTTCATAAAATGTTGCTATTGCCGATGAATAAGCAGCTAGGGTTACATTAAGCGACCCAACACTTGCGCAAGAACAAAAACTGGACAAAAATGACATGATAACGAACAGAATCAGCAAGTAATAAATTTTCTGATTGGTACTATGCTGCGGAATCAAGTGCTTATATAGGAATTAATTTAGTCACTCTTGAATTTTTTTTTTTTTTGACTGTAAAAAACATTTCATTCATTCATTCAAATCTCCAATTACAGCTTTACCCAAAGATGGAGGGAAATCATTCCACCGTACAATTCTACCTACTAATTCCACCGTACAATTCTACCTACAATTTTAGACTATGAACTGGCACATTTCTAGTTCTACACACGTGGAAAATCTTACAGCATTCAAAGCTATCATATAAAATTCGAGCGTTATCCAGCCAGCTCTCCGAATAAGAGAAATCGGCTCTATCACTATTCAATTTTTGAACGACAATGATAGAGTCAATTTCTAGAGTCAACGTCAATTCCAACTTCCTTAGCCCATTCTAAACCCTTAATGACAGCAAGAATTTCAGAAAATTCAGCAGATGAAGTTTTACCGATTCTTTCCGCAAATGCTGCCATGATTTGTCCTTCATCATCTCTGACAATAACACCAATTCCTGCTTCCTCTGGAGTCCGTGCTGCATCAACGTTGATCTTCAAAAGGCCTTGCTCTGGAGGATGCCACTGCCCAATCAATTCCTTTGAGCTATAAAACTTGCTTTCTTCCTGACCTTTAATGAACTCCATTAAATATGATTTAGCCTACTCAACCACCACTTGAGGTCTCATTACCTATCCTTCAAATAACATGCTGCTATTTCTTGCGTACCATATCATCCACAGGATGGTCACAATCAGCTCTCTCTCTCTCTCTCTCTCTCTCCATTTCTTGACCAGTTTGCAAAATCATCTGCATTAAATCTAAAATTCTCATATTTCCTTTTACCCCAACCGCCTAATCTAACCTCCATATCAGATACACTTCTGCACACACGCTCAACCAAATCATCTTCATC